CACAGCCTTAAGAAAGCGTAGCCACTTTTTGATACTTGCGTTGCTTGCTCGCGTTTCTTTTTTTTCTTCAGATTTCTTTGCCAAGTTGCCATCATTGGTGGATTTTACGTACTATAATATGGTGTTTGGCAATGTTTGGCCTCATTCTTGGCGAGTGAAGCTTTCATGAATGATTCATTATCGTTACACATGCCTTAAGCTTTCTGTTGGTTATACGATGTGTGCGGGTAGCGTTCCGACTGCTGTGGATGCCAAAGGTTGGCCGGAACAAAATGATCACACGACACCCACTGCATCACCACACCAGGATCACTAGCCGTTCAAACATTCTGGTTTCATCCAGCACAACTCCCCAACAGATATACTGCATACCTGGTAGAGGGTTCAATAGGAATTGTTTGTCATCGCGCTTCCGCACAGCTTTCATCATTGCTGCAATGTTGGGTGTCCGGACTCAACCCATGTTTTTGGGGCCCTGAGTAGATGTTTGGGTCACACAGAGCGAGCGAGACGGAACCAAGAAACGCAAGGCATCAATCTCTTGGACGTGCTTTGCTCGAGATGCTTGCCCTTTCGTCCCGGGAGCAAGGTACCCCAATCTAAGCAGCGAGAACACAGCAGTGGCGCATGCACACCCCACACGTCCTTCTTGCAATTGGCGAACTCCTTGTAAAGGTAGGGGTGACACTTGGCAGGGATGTGTAGGTGCCAATGGGGGAGCAGGGGGTGCAGCTGGGGTCCGTGACTTTGGTTGAGGCATAGCTAAGAACGCGCCTGCAAGTCAATCGTTTGCTGAGCACCGCCGTGGGCGGACCTGTGGTACGACATCTGTTGACATCAGGTGCATACGTGTCGACAATGTTGAAGCGCACGATGGACGGTGTCAAGGAGATCACGATGTGCCATGTAAGCAAAGATGGGGGCCAGTTTGACGTCTAAAGCCTTTGGCATACTGCCCCCTTGAGCCAGGCCTTGTGTTGCTGGTAGAGGCTCACAATGTTCCACCAAGGTTTTGATGAAGTTCCACAACTGTGATTCAATGTCTCCTTTTTGGGGATCGAAATGAGCGGAGGATCTGTCAGCAAGCTGTTCCGCAACACGCACCGCCAAGTGTCAGTGCAAGGAGAGATGCCGTGGAGCAATGTGGAACAGAGCTTCAATCTGCGCGCTTTGCCCCACAACATGCTAACAACGCAGCGAAAGGCAAGGCGCAGCAAAATCCCTTCACGGGGATCATGCGAGCCGGACGCACAAAACTGTTGTGAGACTCGAATGTGTTTTGCCCCGGTCGCGCGCATCATACTTCAGTGAGAAGGGCTGAGGCGGTGCCCTTCCCAATTATTGCGCGTGGCGGACACCTCGTTAAATTGTTTCGGAAAACCGCCTGTCGATGCAATGCGCAACAACTGCCGCCAAGACTTAATGTTGGCGATGGCAACGAAGCGTAAAACCATCCTCGCAAAACGATGCTGAAACGTGGACCGTCGTCGAACATTTACAATGGGGATGCGAAAATGTGGCACGGTGGTCAAAAATGTATGATTATGATGTCACAGGGTGAAACTGTCGTCAATGGTGATACCAAAGTGCGAAATTGTCGTCGAACCAGAACGTGTTGCAGTGGGGATAACGACTGGCGGTGTTGACTTTAAAACTTTAAAATGCATTTAAAAATTGCTAGCTGTGCTGAGGGATCAACACGGGCGTGATTGAAGCAGTGGCGCTGGAGAACGTATCAGGCGGAATAACTTCAGGCAGTTCCGTGACCCGCACCACCCTGATTCTCAGCACATGTCCGTTCCGGTCCGCCTTGTACGGAAGATGAAGTGGAAATCCATGGAAATCCAAAAGTTTATTTCTGAACTGTTGTGCAGAATCTTAAATGTCTTTGACAAGGTCCATATTGCAAGTGCTGATGTATTATCATAATCATTGAGCGCGATGGGAAAGCATCGCAAATGTAGCCACCTATATTGCATTTCACCATTCAGTTTTGCCATCTGTAGCGCCGAAGTGTTTGAATTCTTGCAATGCCAAGCCTACCGTTTAGCATGGTCAGCATTTTTTAGTTGCTCGCGGCAACACAGGCTCTGAAAGCAATGTTTGGCGACACTTCCACGGCTTGTGACGATGTCGGGCAGCGTATATTTATCTCAGAAAGGCCAGCAACATTCAAATCATCTTTAAGGACCAGCATCCACCACAAGAAAAGCAACGCCTCCTTTGGTTTGATAAGATCCAAATCCACAAGCATACCTGTCTGAGAATGCCATGTGAAGTGCAACTATGTCGCTTGAGCACCAACAAGGGGTTTCTAACGATGGTGTTCTGGGCTCGCATATCTTGAAAGAGTCTCTTGCTTGATGCAGAATTCGTTTGGCAATTGGCAACATATTGGTCAATCTCACAGGTCCACTGGAACTCACGACGCCGAAACAGGTGCAAGGTGAATTTGAAGCAGGCGTAGTCTGATGACTGGTGGGCAGCTTGCGTATCTGCTCAAGTGCAGGGGGCAGGAAAACGAAACGAATGCTTGGCAAATACACTGATGGGTAAGTAGTAAGTAGGACCTGTTCGCACTTGCCTTGGTATGTTGCTGTGACATCTGTTTCATTTGCCCGGGTCAGGTTCTCCTGCTTCAGTTCTGAAGAAATAACTATACCATGTTACACCTCAGTCTTTTCCAGCATGTTTTGGTCAATCTGAAAAAGATTCATCAAATCAAGCGCGTGATTTGGAGATATGTTGGGTGTTTCTCGTCAATGTTTGGTTCAGATCGCTCCGCAATGCTCTTGCAGTCATTGGTCAAGAAGTATATAAGGTTTTCAACTTACTGAAGCATAGAAGCTTGATTGGGTACGAGTACGGCCCATGTTTGTCCCACGTTTTTAACGTTGCACGCGACCCTGGAAGCATTTCCTTCTCACATTGAGCGCGCCTAATCCATCAACATGTCCCAACTCCCACATGTCATTGTTCACTGGCGATGAGTAAATGTGACAACTTTGAAAACATCAGCCTAACATCAGCAGTGTCGGCGACTGCTCGGGACTTGTGGTTTGCTCGAGCACACCCATGCGAGGCGAGGTGCACTGGAGCAGGACAGGCAGCCAAGCAGAACCCCACAGCGACAGTTCTTGGAGACAGAATATCCTGAGCCCTGAGCTTCTGGCAAAGCCCATGTGGACGGGGTGGAGAAAAGCTCAAAAGCCGATGAGGTTGGGCACAACAAAGCTAAGGGGTAGAACGAAGCACAACCTGTTATATTAGATCCTGTTAGCAATCAAGCACTCATACATCTCATACCCAACCCAGTGGATCAGGGCGAGAGTGTGGAGCTTCAAGTCCAATGCTAACCAAACGGGCACGGTGAAAGAGTTGAGCAGCCAAATGGCACACAAATTGTGGCCGACAAAGAGAAGTGTGACCGGCCTTTGGAGAGTAGCTTTGCCTCATGTTAAACCTGATGCGGAACGGGGTGCGTCGCTCGAGATGGGAGATGGGCAGCGCCCGGTCAAGGTCCGCAAAGCGTGTGGTCGGGCGAGGAGCCGTTCATTGGAAGAAACGACCAATCAATTTGGCACAAACTGTGTGGATTCAACGGACGTCTGAGCGGGATCATCCGGTGGCGGATGGATGGCAAGGGCGACGTCGGGAGCGAGGTGACGTCGAGATCGCTCCAAAGCCAAGGATGACGGGTTGACTCATTTTGAAGAAAACCCAAAGACCCACCCTTCTCCACAATCCCATTTAACATCACCGGTTAAAAGCTCCTTTTCAAGGCAACTGCAAACGCAGCAAGGTCTGGAATTCACTTGCCCAGCTCACAGAGATCCTTGCGTGTACCTCGGACTTGGAACAACCGTGCAAGACGAACCAGCTTTTACAATAATTAGAAGATATTAGAAGAATGTCTAGAAATCCCCGTGTGGCCTAGTTAGCTCATGATTCTCATCTACGTGTGAACATGTCGATCAATGGCGATCAATCACATGACCTCATGACCTCATGGACTTAGATTTCAACCACTTGAGTGAAGGAAAGCATGGAGCGGATGATTCCTTCCCAGCACCGCCTTCAATAATCTTCCATGTGTCCCGTTAGATCTTGGGACCTGACTCGCCCCTGACGGGTCAAGAAACGAGCAGGGGCTTCAACTGTGTAGCGAGGAGCCTCACAAACGTGACGTTTCTTTGGCATTCCTTTCAGTCTGGTCATGTGCCACGTGCTTGGACCCCCGCCACATAAATGCCATTGTGCCTGGCGCAAGACTTGGAACACTCTTCTTGGCTTCACCAGGGACTCGTGAGATCTCAAACAAGTCTACATGGCCAAGTTCCCGGATGAATGTAGATACCTTTTCCAGCAGGCACATGGAAGGCCCGCATATCCTGTGGACAATATTCACACGAATCTGCTCTGACATGAGTTGTGATATGTATTTATCTAAATATCTAGAAGCACTCACTTCCGAATCTCAGGACCATCGAAATCCATACAAAACCGTAAAACCCACCAGGGCCGTCCTGTGGAGTGATGTCATCTCCACAGGATGCAGGCCCAAGGCACACAGCGAATGGGATGGGTTGTCTTGGCCAGAAGAGTTGTCCACCTCATTTTGCCACCAAAAGCACTGAAGCCATTCCTCTTTTAGGTTGCAGGCCATCGCTTGGCCATCGCTAGTAAAATGGAGGTCGCTACTAGGTTCCTCTTTTCGACTATCGCCAGCCCATTGCCTTTGTCACATTTGTCCCTTTGCTGTGGGGTGAAATCTTCAATGCCGTCAAGGCCCAAACCGTCAGGGTGGTAGTCACTCATCCACAAGTGTATATGACCTTGGCACAGCTGGCACAGCTGACAAGCAAATCCGAAGCGTGTTGAGGAAGCTGATGGACGGTGACCATCCCAACCCAAATAAAAACTCGGAACACCACTGGCATCTGCAACTTTGTCAGATGAGGCGTGCTCTGGCCTCGGCAAAGTGGAATGATCACCGAGTTTCAGACCGCCTCAATGTCCTTAGCTGCTGGCACGGCCCCAAGTCCATCCAAATATTCGTTGTTGTTGGTGGCAATCGCCAGATTCTTCCCGTAGAAAAAATCGCCCTGGCCAAATGTACAGCAGGCGTGGCTGATTTGTTGAGTCGGCTGGCACCTAGCCTTCCACTGAACTTCAAAGTCTCCCTCTGTAGTGCCAGCCTGTCAGTGCTGTTTAATTCAAATTCCATTGCTGACGTATGCTTAATATTTGCACTGAAAAACTAGAAATCATTTCAACCCGAGCCCTTCTGCGTCTTCGCTACTAGCTGCTAAATACAAGCTAGCTACTTCGCTACAGTGCTCCAGGGCCTAACCCCCTGTTTCCAAGTCATCTCCATTGCCTCATCACCAGTGCCAGGATCAAGTTGTCGCCACCCAGGCTGTGGCCATTGTGTGATTTCGAAGGTCTTGTGTGCCACAGTATAGTCCTGAAAATCAAGCATCCCTCAAAATTCTTCAAAAACAATTGATGGACAAAAGGCACAATTTTGTTGAACAAATACAGTCACATGAAAATTGCACTATAGACTATATACTGGTAAAGTATCTTTACGAGGTCCTCTGGGTTGGAGACTAACCTGTCAGAACATCGTTGAGATTCAAAGGAGCACTGGCCGCTGCTGGTGCTGTCGGCCTTCCCAGTCCGGCCAAAGTCGTGTCATTGGCCATTTCCGGGATGAGGTTCTGGACCTTCAATCCTCTCCAAATAGGATCAATTGATCAAAGACCAGTTCCCCAGTCTGTTGAAAACGGACTCACGGATCCACATTTCGTGAAATGCACTGACTGACTGTATGCAAGGGGCCTGCAAACACCCCAGGAAAGGGCAATTATGTTTCCAAGTTTAAGAACATAACACCTCATGCCGCCCTTTTTGAGCACGATTCATGGGGCCTAGGCTCATAAGCGCCTCCATAATATTCCATAATGAAGTGAGCAAAATCTTGCAACGGAGAAGGACCGCCCTAGGTCATTTGCACCTCCTTGATCCTTGCACCCCCTGGTCAGCCCTGGTCCTTCTGGCAGCTGAGGGCGTCTGAAATTCTCTGGGGAGAAGAGGAAGGCGGGCTGTACGGTCGTAGCCTGCAAATCGAAGAAGGCAGAAAGTTGAAGGGACATTTCTTGCTTGCAAGCACTGCACATGATCAACCACCCGAAACGAAACCAAGGCGTATGCTTGAAGGCTTCATCGCTTCATCAACGCAACAAGTTCATTGCCTCTGAAGCGCTTGACCCGATCCACCTGGTTGGGACCTCGAATTGCAAAAGTCTGACGGCATCTGACGGCCAAAATGTTTAGAGCCACTTGGCTTCCCGGGCGATTTGCTGAATGCGCTGAATGGCTGGGCGCAGCTTTGTGGAAAACATGGCGCTTGAGATGTTGGGGCAGCCTCCAATCTACTAGCGATGCCTCCAACCTAATCACCTGAATCACATGGGACCTTCCCTTGCCAAATTTCATCTCGTACTGCAACTGCCATACCCTCCGATGCTTTCAAGCTATGATCTCATCTCCAATTGAGAGGCAAAAGTCTCTGCAAATCAACACATGCGTTGTTGCACCGGAGGAACTGTATGAGAGCTACCAGAAAGTTGCTGTTGCTTCGATGCATCTGTCTTCTCGTCGCTGCTCTTTTTCCCAACCACAACTGCAGCTTGCAGCTCGTTCGGCACTCTTTGGCACGAATCTTATGTATTCTTAAACAATAGAGCAACATTGGAAACCGTCCCTGATTTAGGAACTGATGTTGCTTCAGATGTTTGATTTTAGGTCTTCGCCTCAGTCCAAGGTATATAAGTCCCAAGAGCTAGGAGTCAAAAGTGTCGGCCCAACCTCAACGACCCCGGCAGGTAGCTGTTCCGCTGGCCGGAGATCCACTTCCAAGTAAGGAACATACACCTCATTGTGTTGTTGCTTGTTGTCCGAACTTCCACATGTGATTTTTCTCCAGGGACTGCTGAACTTCTGCAGTTGTGCTGTATTGTGCTAAGCCCACAGCATCCCCAGCCATCACTGCCTGCAAGTGCAATTCTTGAGATGTACAATTGTGTCTTGAGTGAGTCGTGTGACATGTTTGAAACACCGTTGCATCTCACAACCAAATTGTGACATCTTCCTCCATCGACTCATTCTGCTTGGCAGCCAGCCCAACAATGGCCTCGTTTGGTCCATCCGCATTCTCGACCCCAGCCATTCTCCTATCTGAGCCGCTCACGGTGCGCAAGGCTCTCATGGACTCCACAGGGACTCGATTCCCAATGTACCTTTGTTCAAAGCATATTTCCAAGGCAAAGAACATAAGACATAAGCATGATGTTGACCATTTGACAGCCCATATCCAGCAGCTTTATTCACTGTTCCAGGATGGTACAGGTCCATACTCAAGAATTAGTGAGTGCAACCAATACTACAGGATTCCTGTGGACAGCCCCGGAGTGTGAATCTTGTCAAGCACCTGAGCTTTTCACTGAATGTGCTGGACGCACAGGGCCAAGATCTTGCTTAAAATTGCAGCCGAGACCTGGCCCAAAAGGTGCATGGAGGCAGATGGCTGTCTGGTTCAGTTCATTGTCATTTGACTAATGAATCTGCTTTAAAACGTGTACTCCAGCTGCAAAAGCGATGAAAAAACGTCATCCTTTTCAACATGCATGCAACACTTTGCTTTAAGTCTCCAGAAACGCACAGTCTGCCGCAGTCCACCGGTCCACCTGGCTTGCGCCTTCTGCAAACAATCGGATGACCTGAAGAAACAAATCGACTCTGATCGACTCTCACAGGTGAAACATGGTGAAACCACAGACCATTGGACCGGACCTGGTCAAGAATGTCCACGAACAAGCCCACATCCAGTGGATCTGAGTGTATCGCGCCTCAGCCATGGAGTTTTCATGTCGAAAATGTCACAACTACCCACTCTGGCACCCACCTTGTCGCCTCCGAAAATGACTCTAGGTCTAGACTCTGGAAAAAGAAACTTATGAGCTTCCCCTGGGGCTGCGTCCATCAGCACTCTGCAGTGCTCGTCGCAGGCAGAGTAGGCCACGGTCTGCATCCTGGTGGATTAAAGGCAATGCCCTACGCTCGTGCCAGAAAGAGCTTTATTACAACCCCCGCCTAAGAACAGCTTAAAACAACAAGCTGTCAATTTGGGAGGGATCGTGCGATATCTCGAACAAACCATGCGAATCAAAATCATTTCAACGATACAAGTACTGCGAAGCTGCAGCTTCTTCCTCAGTGCGTATGAGCTTCCCCCGAAGCATAGTTGGTGGATGTTGGTGGTATAGCCCGTCGCCGGACAAACCAAGATAAGCTTGTGGAATCGCTCCGCCACCAGTGCGCTTGCATGGAGGCACAAAAAGCACCAAAAAAACTAAAGCAAAGATACGTCCTTTCCATCCATTTCCTATGATTTCAACTATTTCAACTGATCCCGTGTTGCATTAACCTATTCCAGAGCATACTTTTGCACAACGACATGGGCCATAATTGTTCCAACAAAAAGTCAAAGCACTCCTACCAACAAAGCGATCTCTGGACGGTTTCTTGCTTTCTTCATAGGGTCGCACTTGGAAGAAGCTAATTAGGAATTGACCTTGCTGCGCCTTCTTATTTTCTCTTTTCATCCCTGTTTCAGGATCTACCCTGACTGGCAGAGCTGAAGGGTGTACAGTTTGGGTTCTTACATGTTCTTACTTTGGATACGGTGCACTTCTAACCTTCACTACCCCACAATATGTGGAAGGGCTTGGAGGGCTTTCAGCCACCCAAGCATCTATTGTATTTGGCAAAGGGCCACTAGAAGCTTTCCGAAAAACAACCGACGGTTGCAACACTCTCGTCGGCTTTCCTTGCAGTAATTTAAGGTGCAACCTGTTGACACTACGCTTCGTTCGTGTTCACAAGGATTAAACATAAGCCTAGAGATACCTCTCTACCCAACCCCAACATCTCCTGAAAGTTCAATCGCGGCAGCCAAAACCTCATTAAAGGCCAGCGAAAGCAGAGAAGGCTGGGGTACGCGTATCCATAAACACATAACCGCATAGTATAGCATTGGAATGTATGGGGGTATGCAATAAGAGCTGGTGAAGGAATGATATCAGAATATGCCTAAAATACCTCGAAGACGGTTGAAGCATGTTGAAGCCTGCCCATGGCATTGGGTCAAGGTTGGGATCACGCACCCTGCTATCTTTCACTTTGACCATCTCATGTCATCACGCACCCTGGTTTCACGTTTTTGCTACTTCATATTTCTGTCAATCTGTTAAAGTATCCACGTGTTTTTGCCATGGCGCATCTCGCAGCACAAACAAAAGGCCATGCTCTGGAAGCGCTTGGAGAGCCTGTCACAGAGGAAGGTCGTGGAGGCTGCATCGATTCTGCTTCTTGCAAAGGCAAGAGACGGTCTCAAACACCCAGAAATGATTCGAGAGTTATGACATGTTATGACCATTCTAGGACCTCTAGGATTTTGGAATACTGACAGTTTGGGTTGCTTCAATCGAAACGTCAGAAAACATATAAATATATAATATTATATGTATATATACTGTATATATATATAAACATGTGAACGCATGTGAAAGCCAAGTTTTGGGGAAGTCCAGCAGCGACGCGCATCAAGCATGGCAGCAAGGCATCTTGTTGGCCAGCGCCACGGCTCGGTCGCAGACCTTCTTCAAATCACCTTCCTGCAGCAGGACTTCTCATGTTGCATGTCTTACTTCACTGTTAGCAGTGTTAGCATAATCCCCACTTTGCACCCAATATGGACTGAATTCTCTCGTCCCTGCACACCTTGGCTTGCCTGAAGTGAGCAATCCTCTTGTCAAGATGGACTAGCGAAAGTCTCCTTCGTTCTTTGGCATGTTCCTACAGCATGGTACCAGCCTCACCTTGAAGGGACAAATCAACAATTCCGTTCAAGAAAAAATGAGAGGCCCTTCCATAGGAGTACCTTCACTGGCTTCACCTGAAGGAATCGACCACAAGGACGTTGCCTCCATGCCCTGGCGCATCTGCCGCAAAGTGCCCACCAGCAACTGGAGGCCACGCAAACGAGCCTAGCACAGCATGTTTGAGACAAGGTCAGTGATACAGGCAACATGAGGAGTCATGATGAGCCATGGCATGGCATCCCACTGATTGTTCAGAGTTCCACAAGCATCCAGCTAGGGTTGACGTGCTTGAGTCACCGCCAAACCGTTTAGAAAATCTATTGAACAACAAGTTTACACAGTATGTCTAACTATACATAATTAACTATACATTGACCCGGCCCGTCTTTGGAAGAGCATTGTGAGTGACTTGGGACCACTGGAACAGCAGGGCTGGAAGGGGTGAATCTGATGTCTGGCATGTATCTAAGTGCTCTCCAGTAGGTTCTCTCTCTCTCTCTCTCGCTCGCTCTCGCTCTCGCTCTTGCTCTCGCTCTCGCTCTCGCTCTCCCCTCCCTCCCTCCCTCCCTCCTTCCCTCCCTCCCTCCCTCGACCATTTGCAGTTTCTACTAATTAATCTCCGCCAGTGTGCTTTACACAACTCTCGCGCCTCTTGCTCCGAAATGTTGCGCTCCAGGCAAAGAAGCGCGTTGTCCATCGAACTGGCAAGTTAGCATCATTGGAAAATCATTGAATCCAAGCCGCTGCGCTTGCGAACAGGATGCATTTCCAGTCTTGCGTAAAACTGATGCTGGGATTGTGCTGAGCTTACATACATTGAACCGACAAACGGAGGATCATAGGGCGAAGCCGGATCAGCCTCGAGATGCGTTGGACCAACCTGGGCTCATCTTTATGCTTCCTTACAGCATTTTTTGGTGGAAAACATTTAGTAACTGGCCCATATGGTATGATAAATATGCTGAACGGTACTTCCAGGAATTACTTCCATGATCTTCCATGGATTCCATGTGAGAACATGTTATTCCTTACCAACAGCATGCACCCTCCTGTTCCTCAGAGTCTTTCTCCAAACTAATAGATAAAATACAAACCTCCAAGTCTCTTTAGTTTGAAGAGCTCCACCTGGGGCTGGCACTCAGTTCTCGTTGCTTCCTGCTTCTCCGCTGCCGCTGCATTGTCTGCACAAGCTGAGCAAAGTAGCCAGAGTCGCAAAGACTCCTGCATCAGTCCAAGTCGAGCTACAGAACCCCAGAATCTATATAGAGTCTATTTAGAAAGTGCTTATCCTTATCCTGTTACCTAACAAAGGTCCCATCTCACACCTTTTGACTTCTATTGTGTCCTAAATCAACTAGCCTTTGAATCAATTCGACCCCGACTTTCTCTATGCAGAAGCATCCTGAGACCAAACCATCAACACCTGTTTGACTCGGCCCCCTGTTTCATCCCACTCCCGTGGAGCCAATGTTCCAAGACTGGAGCAAAGGGTGTGCCTGCCACTCTGCTTTCCAAAGACGGATTTGGATGGATCACTGATCACAAAACGTTTGAGCATGTATACCACCGTTTGATGGTCTTTCGCTGACTCATGTTGACTTGACTAGATGCCCTTAATCATTAATTGAACTACTCATTGGACCCATGGCCATGCAAAGCAATGAGAGCATGACGTGAAATCAAAGATCTTGACCGGCCACCTGGGCTCTCATGCCGCGGCCAGTCATCGCTCGCTCTCTCTCCCCCCCTCTCCCTCTCTCTCTCTCTCTGTCTGGAGTCCAGGGTTCAGACCTTTCCGCATGGCCTGTCACGCTGATCAAACATGATAATACATTAACACCCGGAAAAGTCATCTTCATTTTACACAGACGTTGCACTTGGGGATGTACCAACCGTACTCTTCCAACACGTGTCTTTGACTGTGCGGTATAGTCTTGACTTGTATCGAACTGTCGCATGCAAGCACTGAACGTCCTTCCTCGATCGCAAACTGTTGGTGGCGCACCAGTGAAGCCAGGAGCCACTGTAACACATTCAAGTAAAATGCTACAACATGCTACAACGTGTCTCAACTGGGAAACCAACATTCAAGGCACAAACCAACAATGGAGAACAATGGTCTGTGGCACTCCAAACGGGCGCCCTCGATCGGGCCACAAAGCTGCAAAATTCTATCGTTGTTGCCTTGTGACCTTGTGACCTTCAAGTTAAGTTTCCCTACAAATCTAGGAACCAAATGAATAGTGCGAGCACTTCTTCAAGGAAGCTCCCCCCCGCCCTCAGGCTGGGGGGGGCTTCCGTGAAGAAGCGTCAGCTATCATGCGTCCATGCTAGTGGCTACTTGCTACCTAGCTACTACGTACCTCTATGGCCTACCCCGGCCTTTAAAGAAAGAATTGTATTCTCACATCCGGTTCCTGCCTCCGGCTCTTCTGGCCTGATGAGATGGCCGCGCCAACGCTATGGCGCGAGCTGACACGTGGACTCCAAGGTTCAGACCAATTCCAGCACAGCAGCGACCATGGCAGGGACGGTGAAGACGATTCGGTGTGGCCCGCCCTCCAAATCCCAGAGTGCCAAGGCAGTGTCAGCCGTACAAGCGGGAGGTTGTACCGAGCCTGCTCGAAATGCTTCCAGAGTATTGAAAGCATTTCGAAGACAACCTTGGGATCATCCTGTCGAACCTGCCAAGGACGCTACTAGGGGCTCCTGGCATCGCTACTAGGAGCACGGACGATACTAGGGGCTCCTGGCCTTACTACTACGAACAAGAACGCTACTAGGAATTACCAGGAGCAAAACATGGATGTCATGACCAGCCACCAGTCGACAGCCCAAACACACACCTGGTGGATCAACTGCGCCATCGTCTCTTGCTCAGTGCGGAAAACCAAGGGATCATGCTCCAAGTGCCTCAGGTTCGAGCCTTATAAACATGTTCCAAGTGTCCGTCCCGCATAGAAAATCATGTGCAACTAGATCAAACATAATCTATGCGAATCATGGTAATTCCTTGAATTCTGTGGATCTTTAGGCCTCATCAAGTCTTCACCTGGATCATCTTTGCCGGTCTTGTCACGCAGAAGCGGACCGGTGAGCCTGGGCTACCAGGATCATCCAGGATCTATGACAATGGACACCTGGAAACTTTGGTGCCCCGCAAGAAGAGGTTCTGCACCGTCTCTGAGTCTTGAAGCCTTACCTAAGGTGACAGGTCCAAGGAATGCTGCCATTGTAATTGTCAGCCACAAAGCCACCCTCAAAAATAAACTGTTTAGATCTCTTTAGCATGGAAGTCTCAAAGTGTTCGCACACCCCATCCAACCGTGAAGCAAGCTGCTGGCCTCAACACCCTTCAAACACGCTCGAGTCTGCTCAAGCATCGAAACACTAGGACCACGTGCATCTCCAGCGAGCAACGCGGAGACCTGCGATGAACGGCGCTCAGAGACTTCGCTCAGAGAAGTTGTAGTGCACGTGCGGCTGTAGGAGTTTGCATTGCTACTAGGAGCAATGTTCGCTACTAGGGGTTCCTGGGCGTACTACTAGGAGCATCCTTACTACTAGGAGCAAGAAGCTATCAGAGGTGACGGGTTGAAGAGCAACACCTATACTCTACGGCAGTACGGCAGGCAACCTGAGGCCCTCTCCATGGCTAGAGCTCCTCTAGCTTGCATGGACTGTGACATCATGGCCTTGCCAGGCTTGCAAAGTTCTGGAAGCTGAAAGCCACCAACAGGTTCTGCAATTAAGAATCGCTCGGCATGCCCAACAAGCAGCTCTTAGTGAGAAGCCAAGAGCGACTTGTGGTAAGGCATTGCCAGAACCACCGAAGCCAATGACTCCTGTAGACACGGGTCAGTCAAATCCAGTCTTGGATACGCGCTGATGCCAAGTAATTCCGACCAATTCCTGAGTAAGTGGAGCAGCCATAAGATCCACCACTGCCTCGTGGAGAATCGCCGTCTGATGCCAATGCAATGATGTAAAGTGCTGTTTAATGTTAAGCTTCTCCCAATCCAATCATGCGAGGGGCCCTTCAATTCAAGGAAACTGCCCCCCCGTTGTCAGGCGAAGGGAAGTTTCCTTGAAGAAGCTTGAGCTCTTTTGTTTCCCTGTCTAGTAGCTACTCGAGCTACTATGTACCCCTCACTACTCACTACTAGCTACATGAATCTGAATAAATTCTGGTGCCCATCCTGCCTGGGCCAGCTTGGTTTCCAATGGGCATGGCACACCTGCGCAGAAAGAACAAAGCAAAGAACGTGAAAGCCATTTGAAAGCCTCAAAGCCCAAACACACGGCAGCATCGTGGCATGGCTGAGCTGCCATGTCACGTTTTTTGTCAAACACCGCATCTCTCCAAAACATCTCTCCAAACCTTTCGAATACAAAATATCCAAAGTCCAATGAGCTACATATAGCATAATATAGCCAAATCATCGAACTTCACAAGGAAATCTGAAACCCACGAGAATCAACATGCACTCCCCTGGTCGCACCAGGAGCTTCTAGCAGCTGCACAGTGCTCCGCAGAAGTTCCATGCAGGACTCTGTACCTCTCCGGAGCGACGCATCGTCTTTGCCCGAGTCAAACGAACATGACAATTTGTTGTGGAATCTTCCAGACTAGAATGGGAGATTCCTGCAAGTCTCTGCACCTGTGTTCAATGCCAGCACGAACATGCAAAGCTCCTAACACTTCAACCCTCTGTCTAGATCTGTCTAGCAGGTTCACGAATGTTCCATGGTGTCCCATCCCCCAGCAGTCCAGCTGCAATTCCAGCAATGAGTCCAGAGGGGTTGCCTTGTGTCAAGGCTGGTGGACAGCTCTTCCAAGACTTCGACACTACAGGGCTGAGTTTGGCTTCAGTTCTACATCGCATGACCACCTGGAATGTCCAAAAACACACAGTGTCCACCAGTGTCCACACTGTCTGGGCTTCTGGCGGCAGTGCGAGGCCGGCTATGAAGCTGCTTCATGTGGGAGTGGAAGAGTCCAAACCTGTTGGATCATTTCATGTCATTTCCACATTCATTCTCGAGTAAGCTAGCAATCAGCCGGAGCGACACGTCCAAAGCGCTTTTGCCTTTCACCTCTTCGCCTTTGACAAGCGCGCGATCAAACGGAACTTCATTCCGCACTCACGTGGCCGAAATGGTCTGAGAGGCGTGCCCATCCGACCCATGTCAGCCAGAAAGCTTGTCAAGCGACTCAAAAGATGTTGCCTAGTTCTTTGTTGCAAAATCGCATCTGCAAAGGCTTCCAGACACAATCGAGAAGCACTTTCCTTTAGCGTTGAGGAAAGTGGGGAGATTGGTGTTTAGACATTGACCAAACACCTCAACCTCAGCTCTGCACGTCAATGGCTTCAAATCAACAGACCAATGAACCTGTCACCACAGGTTTTTACGCTAAGAGTAAGAAGAAGTTCATTCTTAAAGCTTGATTTCACTGAGACTTGAATGAAAGTGGCCCTTTTTGGCCGTGCGTGAATTGAGACGAATAACAATCGGACCTCTGCACACGTGGCTAAGACTTTCTCCAAGGTGTGCAAATGAAATGCATCACCAAAGACCTGCAAGGGAGGCCATCAGCAATCTGCTCCAATCGAACAAGTCAGCTGTCAACTTCCACCCATCTCTTTTTAGGAATGCTATGTTCATCAGCCTGCGTTTCAAAACGTCTATCTTCGTGCACGTTCTTTAGCAGTTTGAAAGATCTCTCGGTCGCTACACTCAAGATCTCTTCTGCAAGACGTCGGGCATGGTGAAGACAACAGTACCGGTTGTTGCTCAACAACAGTAGGATGCGGTTTCCCGGACCAATCAGTGCTGTCGACAACTGGGTGCTTATCGGTACTGGCCTCCACAATGAGTTGCAACAGGTATGCCTGGTGGACATGACAATTGACGGTGAGTTTCACGGAGGCGTTCATGATCTTTGAGATCTTTGAGATGTGCCAATCTCTTGTCAGTATCATTGTTCATGCTTTATCATCTAGACTCTTTCAGCCCTTTTCCTGTATCCTTCTCTGAACATTGATATGCTCTTTGCGTGAGAGTATTTTGAGTCTGCTCACTGCAAGCAGCTTCGAATACGCTAGAGGCTTCACACGAAGCCACAGTCGGTCATTTTAGCCCATGCATTCTGGATTCCGGTCTCTGCTGGCAGCCTCACCTGCAAGGTCGAGGACGGGTCTCGGCTGTTTCTTGGCAAGCGAAGAACATCATGCCCGTGTGTCAACACTCATGCGCGCATTTCGCAAAAGACGGATGATTCTGCTGCTTCATCAGTTGTGACACGGTTCGACTCATCATGTAATAACAACTTGGTTCATATTGTTTGCACCTTCACATGTGGGGTGGCCACGGTCACACTCAGCGAGCGCCTTGGAGCAGATTCAGAGTTCATGGTCTGAATGAGGTGGATGGCACATAGACGCTCTTGCTAAAGCCCTTGAGTAGAAACAATTACAGTAGTCCCTCTTGACCCTTTGTTAGTTACCGTATATCAGCAGGGTGAGAATTCATTCAAAAGGTGCATCCTCAGCAGTTGTTCAGTCTTTGTCTGGGATTTCCACCGCACTGAGGCTTGAAGATGTGATACCCCAGCTGGCACCTCAGCACGGGCGGCTAAGCAATTCTTGCCATCTCTGGAAACAAGTGCTAAGCAATTTTCCGGTGAGTCTCTCTAAGTCAAAACAGCAAAGCAACGGGAGATACAAGGAGACTGAGGAAAGGCACAGAGACGCACCACCTCGGGATCATCCACTTGAGCCTTGCAGCTCTTGCCGTTGGGAAAGCCCGATAATTCGTGGCCTAATGCCCCAACCTTGTCCCTGGCCAGCAGCCGAGTCAGCAGTTTGCGCTCCTCAAACAGAAAGATTGCAAGGAAGCCTGGCTGCAGTTGTTTGGTCAAAGCTCAAACTCACCAGTCCTCGGCTGAGTAGAAAGCAGTTGCCTGAGAAGTTGAAGACGGACAGCACCTAGGGGATCCAAATGAAGAATCATAAATGCGGGGGGGGGTAGGCCGCGGTAGTGGTCGCTAGGGAGTCAACTGGACGCAGGATAGCTCGCGCTAATAATTTGGGAGACTTAACTAGTAGTGTCCTTGCTCCTAATAGCAATGGCCCTCAAACAATCTGATTCACTTTGACAAAGCTTCAATCTGACTCGGAGCTCCACGTCGCCATGTCCGTGAGAAACCGTCTCGCGGTTCCCGCAGGCACATGCGCCGCCTCGTGCGGGATCCCCACGAAATCATGAAATTCATCTTAAGTAGTCAGTACATCTGAAGCATCTTCAATCTAAAGAGCTCTCTGACTATGAACCACTGAAGAGAATCATTCTGGACTCTGAACCGCATTTTCTACTGTGCAATCACCGATTTCAAAATTTATGCTCGTCAAGGTTGAAACAGAGTAGAACATGTATGAGAGAAAAAGATAGAACATGCAGCACATGCACCTGCTCAAGCGCTTCAAGCAACTTTTGAAAGACCTGGAGACTGAAGTGGGGTTCAAAACATTCTCCGAATATCTCCAAATACCTTTCCTGCTGCCAGCTCCCTGACCGAAAGAACCCAAGTGTTCACAAGGAGACAGTGCTGGTTAATTGATGTTAATTGGTAAAGTTCGGATCTGCAAGCTTGATCAAAGCTTCATTGGCTTGGATGGGCTGGTGTTCAAGCAACCGTCGCTGCCTCTGCATCCATCTCCCGGCCAAATATACGTTGCACCGCTTCGGAGTTCATGTGGACGACCAGCTCCGCTCTTTCCTTCAGGCCAAGACCAAGAAAGAGAAACATCTGCTCTCAATCTTCTCCTTCTGAACACAAACCTACAGTACTGGGATTCTACACACAGTCTAGGAATGGACACGTGTCAACAACAAAGGCCTTTGTGGATTTGAATGGTGTATGTAGTCCATGTCCCATCTATCATCGTTCGTCTTTCCCCACCTCTTGATTGACATAAGGGATCTACAGAAAATCGGAACGTGGGGACAAAGTTCACCAGATGGTGTCTTTTGCACTGGGAGGCAATGGGGAAAAAAAGGATGGGCAAGGGTTCTGGAATGGCCAGTTCTTGCTCTGCCTCGGCTGTCTGTCGCCGCCGCAACTCCTTGTCGAGCTCCCGAATGCTTCGGATTTCTACAGGGGAGCACATACTTCCAGCATTCCAATTATGTGAGGATGCCCTTGGCATTGTTCTGTATCAATTGTACTGAGTCCTTACAATCTGACAGCCTGACAATCTCACCCCTTCATCTTTGATAAGGCAATATTGACATGCTTTCGGCTGCAAGGATTGCTCACGCCTCGTTTCTCGTCACTTCGATTCACCCTTTCCGCAAGTGTACTGGGCCTGAGTCGAGCATTTGAATCACCACCAAGAAACAGGTCTTTTCAAACTGGGTTTGCAGCACTGTGCCGGACGGGTAAGCTCCGCGGCTCTTTTCAACTTGCCTTCAAGGAGCAAAGAATGCGCAGGGTTCTCGTGTTCAAGCTCATCTACAGAACTTATCTGAACTTAGTGAAGGCAAGTGATGACGGTCAGCATTATAGTTTATTCCACTCTTGCATGCTGCAAGTACACCAACTATCCCACCAAACATTATATATATAGAATCCCTACCCCTTCCTGAGGGGGGACGTCGAAAATTGTAAGTTACATTTTCCTGTGCGGAGGGCCTCAAAAAATGTAATTATATTAACTTTGAGGTGGCCTAAAAAAAGGTAACTTACATTTTTGAGACCTCATGGGTGATTTTCCGGGGAAAGACCTCAAAAATGTAAGTTACATTTTTGAGGCACGGTGGCGCGCTTACATTTTTGGACCTCCATCCCCACACTAATTTCTGCTCACGACCACGCCCCGCATGGTCAAATGCGGCATTTCAAGGAAATGCCTGCCCAAACATGTCAGCCGTCAGCCGTCAAGTTGAATGATGCTGCCCGCGGCCGGCTGCATCATTAGCATTTTTTGGACTGAAAAACAGATATATCAAATATATCTGTTGTTTAAACAATTCTTTTTGGCCGGGGGGGGATCTTCCATACAAAACTCCTTACTCATATGCCCGCCACATATGCTTCGTGGACATTTTTTATGTACATCCACCTGTCTGCAGACACATGTGTTAGGAGTTCCTGTGCCCACAATACACACTCATCAGAGGCACAAATCCTTACTCACCAGAGGGTAGTATATGTTCCTGCTTCTTGGCAGTTTGCTCTGGGTGTGTTTCCTGTTTTTCTTTGTTGATGATGACTCAGACCCACTGCTGTTCCCTCACCTGCTCTTTCTAGCAAGGAACAAGCAGCCAGGGCAAAAACATAGCAGTGATTATGCTCTGCTATGCGTGGGTTTTGTTTTGGCATCCTTCCTTTGGGGTCTTGCTTTGTGTGTGTGTGGCTGTTATTCTTTGTTGGTGATGACTCATCATGTTTGCCTTCTGCAGCAACAAGCCACACAAAAACAAAGCAGATGAGGGAACAGACCCAAGTCATCATCAACAAAGAAGAACAGGAAGCACACCCAAAGCAAACTGCCAAGAAACAGGAACATACATGTTCCCACTGAAGACCCCAAAGGAAGGCAACAAAGCGGAACCCAAACATAACAAAGGATCACACTCCATACACAATAAAGGAGAACAATAAAGGAGAGGCTGCCTGTTCTATTGGGCAGGAGAACAAGGATATTCAACGCCGTTTGATCCCCTGGTTTCTTGCCCCCTGCTTGCGGTTCGTGTGGTCGGACGTGTGTGATTTTCAGTATGCTAAAATGTAAGTACCTCAGGGTGACACCTCAGTTCCTTGTAAATTCTGGGGAGTTGGGCATGTGGCCAAAATGTAAGTTACAATTTGTGAGGTCAAACTTTCTCACAGAACCCATGTATTCCCTGTAAAATCTGTGGGTTTGGATGCGTGGACTAATTGTAAGTTACAATTTTTGACGTCTGCAAATCTCACCTTTTGCCTGTGTCCTGGTCCTGCATTTTTGGAGGCTATGTTTTCCTTGGTGTTGAGGCATCAGCAAACAGTTGCCAAATAGTACTTTTAGTATTAGTTAATTACTTATATATTTCATTAAGTGACTCCCACCCCCAAATAATCTCTTAGTGATTGGCGTATCTTCGATCTGCCAACGCACCCTAGGGGGGGGGTAAAAAAATGTAAGTTCAGGCCTCCCAGGTCGCAAGTTACATTTTCCAGACCCCCCCCCACTTCGATCTGCCGACCCCCAGTAGGGGGGGGTAAAATGTAAGTAAGCACGTCCCAGGCAACAAGTTACATTTTTTCCCCCCCCCGCCCCGTTACCCGTTTCGATGGTGCCTGGGGGGGGGGTTAACTTACATTTTTTGACCCCCTAGGGGGGTACCCTAAAATGTAACTTACTCTTGTGAGGTCCCCCCCCCCCGGCAGTAGCTTAAGGGGGTAGGGATTATATAGACATGTTAAGACAACCCAAAACCTAGTGGCCAGGGCCTATTGTACGAGAACTTTGGAGGCGCATTGAACTCGTTCTTGTGAATTGGCTTCAGCATGCAGCCAGCAACACGAGATTTGAACCTCAGAATCCATCATGCAGGGGTGGAACGATCCCTCGGCAAGACAAACCATTCCAAACCAATCTGCCCACTTTTGCTGAAGTTCTCATGTAACGAAGTGCTTCACCCTGATGTCTCGCTCCCTCCCTCCTCAACTAACTAGCCAAAGTCCCAGACTCGTCATAGCTAGCTGTGGTTGTGATGGCACGCTTCTTGGCATCATCAATGGTATCCTGGTACATTTGGCAATGTCAACTCGATTAAATATTATACATCGGGCAGGATCTTTTTTCATAACAATATGAAATATAAACATGGACGGCGGAGACCGTCGCTGGGAATGAATGCTGACTGCCACTTTCACAACTGTCCAACAAGGCCAAGATTCTCTTTTCCAGTCTTCCTTCACAGCATCTGCTACCTCCTCTTTCATTCTATCAAACTTGAAGGACTGTGGATCATACCTGGGCGTTGTGGTCTTGCGGACCTGCCCCCTTAGCCGCACCCAGCTTCACCCAGGGCGCACGTCCGCAATCTTTCTTCCTTGATGATTGGCATATTGCACAGAGCGCCGGTCTGCCGGGTGTTTCGGCAAGGACAAATGGCCAGCCCCTTTTGGGCTGTGAAACTGTCAGCTTTGAGCCTCAACGGCCTGCCCGTGAGTGAAAAGATGTGAATGGCCAAATGACCTGAGTAGAACGACCTGAGTAGTTCCTGCGAAGTGCTCAACCCTTGGGTGATGTTTCCGTTGACATGTGCCCACCTGGCCAGCAGCATCTTCACATGCAGGTACCAAGTTCAGCAGCTCGGGCAGCACAACCTTCAAGCTAACTCACTCTTTCAGGCAATGCCACGACATGCCGCGACGTTGTAACCATTATAACCTGACAAGAAAGAATCAATAGACATCGCCATCATCCCTGTGGGCCTCGGCATACAACTGGGTGGTCAGGCCTTCTAGACGTGAAATCTCCATTAAATGAGCACCTGCGAAGGCACGAAAGGATCGGAGGATCAACGGCACACAGGGCCCCTGAATTTGATGCAACATGCAACATGCGCCTAAGAGCAAACGCAAGGAGAAGCGATACTCATCGAGTTCCCAGGCCTCAAGAAAGTCCAAGGAATCAACACTTGCAAAAGGGGTGATAGTTTGAGTCAAAGAGTGCGTTTGTTTGAACGAGGCCTTGCTGTTTGATGTGACATCGGCTCTGACCTTCCAACATCAAAGCATGGGTGATGGTGATAGCTTGAGTTGAAGTCCGCCTCAAGTCGTAGACGCTGCCAAAGGATCACAACCTCCTTGAAAGTGCCGAGCAGAAATGTCCTCAGCAAACCGGTGTCTGATGATTGATTGGCCCATTCATTCTGCTCATCTCCAACATTTCTCCTTCATTGCTCTCAGTGCTTTACAGTGCGCCCATCATGCCGCTTCGAAGTCCTTGAAGTTTGTCCTTGTAAGACTGTAAAAAACATGTTGAACACTTAAAGCCGATTCAAAAGGCATCGACAACAGCATCACTTGGAACCTGAGATAGAACTGAAGACACACGGGTCGGGTGGGGTGTAAGAATCTCGTTCCAATGCATCCACGAAGGAACCGGCATCATTGAATGCTCAGCTTTAATTCATAACAGTATTTCCGGATTGGATGGTGAATGGTGGCTCCTTGACTACTTGGAGAAGAAAATAGCGCAGAAAAAGCCCACGCACAGGGTGCTGTACCTTTGCAGAACATCGCCACATGTCCACATGTAGTACGTCCACAGTGTTTGAGTCTTGTGTGCTATCATCGTCATGACGCAGCGGCGCACCGCACGAACCATCCGATCCAAGTCTTGAAGGATCTCGTCCGACTCGCTGGTCGCAAGCATGCGCCTGGGTCCAAGTGGCCATCTGTCTGTCACCATGTGATCAACCCTTAGAAGAGAAGCGCGAGAGTCAGGATCCGATCCTTTCTTTTCCGATGAGGCTCGGACGCCATGCCCACAGTCACCAGCAAGTAGAGACGAGGAAGACAATTGCCCTCGTATTGAACTATCTCGAAGACCTCGCCAGCTCTGTCGGCACGAGAAGCCTCTCCTGTGCTTCTAAGTCCCGTCAAGCCTCTTCCAAGGAGAAGCCATGCCTCTGGGCTCTGTTTCAAGAAGTACTGTACCACTTCGACCAAACGAAAAAATGTTGAACGTATGGTGACCTGTCTTTAATTCAAAGCTGCAAAAAAAGGCCTCTCTGTTTCGAGCAAGTATGCGCCCAAGTATTGCAATTCAACGTAGACCATCGAGTACCTCATCTTGTTTCATCTTCATCTCCACTAAATTGGCCGAACTTTCTGATTCACTGAGCTCTTGGCAGCTTGTAGTAGTTTTGTGGGTCGAGGCGAGACGAGCGTAACCTCACACGTCCAAGATAGAACAACCATGTCTGAGACCCGGAAGTGACATGGTTGGTGGTCTCATGTTGTCTCTATGTGTCTGGGTCTCTCCGTCTGCGGGCTTTTCATATGTTTTCTCTGCTTGTTTGTGATAGACTCTCAGCATCCTTGCATGCATACCAGGGCAATATATTAAGACATCTCTGACTAGGTTTATATCCTCAAGAATACTGTGCTGACACAGCTCAGTCCCTTGTCAGTCAGTCATTGTAATCATCTGTATGCAGCTACTATAGCCATTCAATCGAGTTTCCAGTATTCATATCATCCATTGTAGAACATATTGTCTGAATATGTCTGAATGAATGAATCCTTGAAGCATGAGCTAGGCTTTCCCAGTTTGTTGCCCACGGATCGTTTCGCTCTGATTTCAAGAAGGCTACAACAGTGTCCAAAACACCGTTCAATGCTTTCTTGCTTTCTCCATTCCTGCATGTTAGCCTGCAGTTTGCTGTTCAAGTTTGGGTGCTTGGTTTTCTTTACCGGGCTGAGCATTCTAACTGAAGTGGCCATCTTGCGAAGAAATGCTGAAATGCCGGCTGGGCAGCTCATTGGCCAGCGACAAAGAGTGGCGAATCGCCTTGTAAAAGTCTCCGTGCTGAACTGCCTCCCATGGCTGAGAGTCAGGTCAAATGAGACTATGCTCCCAAAACAAGGACTGACTATTGACAATGTATACTATCAGAATGTCAGACTCAACAAGAATTGCCCCTTTCCCATTGAATTTGATCAGGTTCCGTGCCACCGCTCCTTGCGCAAGTAGAAGCGATGTTCTGCGACAAAGCTGCATGCTTCCGCCAGGAGGTTGGCCTTCTGGGCTTCATCCTATGTTCACTGTTGGAAAAAGAATGAGCGCAACAGCGATTGTTGGGACTTTGAAAGTGAGGTACAGTTACTTGAAACCACGTATAAATTAAACATAAATAAATATATGCTATGTTCTCAACAAAGTATGATAATCAAGTATATTGTTACTAGCAATATATAGACTTTCCATGTATATGGGTGGGGACTGTTTTCATGAGGGCTTTGATCATCAATGAGTATTGTCTCATATATAATTTGAACAATCTGACAGCTTCAAGCAGCGCAATCTGTGGCCTCGTTCATGGCCGTTGTTACCACGGCCTCGGGAGTGTTGCTGAGAACAGTGTCTTTGATGTGCAAAGTACTTTGCGAATCCGAGTGTTCAAAAGACCTTCTGAGTTTATCAAGTTAGACGGTCTTTTGTCCAATTCATGCCAGGTATGCGACCATTTTAGCATCTCTCCTGAAGCTCGAAGACCGTCTTCACTGCACATTGTTTGACACTTGGCTACAAAAGGTCCCACAGCCGAAGCTCCTGCCAGCAGTTGCGCAGAGTCACTGCGCATTCTCTCTGCTTTTTTTGCGTTTTCCATGGCTGCTTTCCAAAATGAAATCTGTGGCCTTCCTTCAATTGGAGTGCTATTTATAGGTCCTTATGATGCAGAAAAAAGACATGTTCACGCCGAAGCTTTGATGGTGTATTTGAGTTCTGGTGTGGGAGGTCACGATCTGAAGCTGATTGGCTTAAGGGGCAAATCACTAGACAAGTTAGAGGTCCTGCGGTTGGAGGAAAGGCATCGTGGTTCAACTTTATCCCTCTTGATCCTTGTGTGTCACAGTTTTGAGTGAAATTCTCAGCCCATCGACGTCGAACAAAAGACTTACACAAGCACAAACTGCAATCTCCCTTTTTCCAGGCTTGACCTGAACGATTCTCCGGAGACATGCAACAAAAGTTGCTGCCATACACTTCGGCATGTAGGCAGTGCATGCGGGGGAACTTCAAAAAGTGACTGGAGCTGCTCCAGGCCGGCTGTACATTTGTGAACCTCTGTTCTTCTGATCAATCAGAACGGAAAAGGACAGCGCAGGATTGCACAAATATACAGGATTGCACAACGCAGTCGTGCAATGCAAATGTTAAACGTAGTTGCACATGCATTGAAACCGCTAGCTCATCAGTTGACGAATTAAGGAGAACATGGGAACAACGACCCTTGCCTGTTTAAATCATTCGTGATCCTTCCAGAAACTCCTCCACCCAACGCTCTGCCTGCAAGATCCATTTGACACCGAAAGTCTGCCCAGATTTTGAGAGGGATTCTGGCCTTGAGTCTTGGAATGGTGGGTGGTGGAACTTTCTTCGGCATGGGTACCTGAGACTGCGAAGCTCCAAGAGGACTCCCGGTCAAGCAGCAACTCTTGCAGCCAAATCACACCTGGGACTGCCTTCGATTTCATGAGCTCTTGTGGGTCAACCTTTGAAACAGAGCAATGTTCTATGGCAGTGTTTTTTCGTAGCTCTATGTGGTCAGAAATCATCCACTAAGCACCCAGCTGAGCCAATTGGTTTGTCCAGCGCAGCTTCTTTGAATGCTCTCTCTTCACTCCAGGCCTGCAGTTGCCGCAGGGTTGTCTTTCCCTGCTTGAACATTCTCAAAATTGCTCAAACAACCTGAGCTTTGACATCCACTTGTCAACCCGCTTCATTTCTTGTTACTCGTAACCCCGTCATCTCGCAGCGCGCCGATGTTTCTCGGAGTTTCTTCTGGAGTATTATATAGTGACTAGTTGTTGTGACCTTCGACTTTGAAATATATATACATCAGACCATATCCCGGGGTGTCTGTGATCCAGAAACAACTGTGATGCTTCATATCGGGCAACGCACTCCACACCCAGGCCGCACAAAGCCTTGTATCTGGTTCGAACATAAGTCTTCAGCTTCGAGGAGAGGCCAGGCTAGCACGGAGAAATCCATGCGCTTTGATGCTTAAACACTGCTACACTGCAAAGACTTATCTCAAATGCCTGCTCCAATCGAGCCGGGGCTACAGCTGCTTTGTGTTTCTCCTCAATGTCCCCTTTCTTGGCTTCACTGGCAAGCAACTCTGCTTGTCGTGCTGCCTGACGAGCACGCTCGACTTCTGCATTTCCTGCAGCAGGTTTTCCGCTCCGTTGTCTCCCGTTGACACAAAAGCTGCTTGGACACTACAGCACAAAAAGAGAGCTTCAGCTGAGGCGTCTGCTAAAATCATCTTGAACCTTTAGCACCTGACCATCTCTATTTCCCAATCTGCTGTATTGACTATTGACCGCTTCGTTTTCAATGCAGCTAAAATGCTATGTTAATGGCTTCATATTTGGTGTCGTCACGGGAAAGCTCATTGAACGAGGTGAAGCAAGTAAGATGCCGGCATGATTGGACCAATTTGAAACTTGCTGAAATCTTCTCAAGAGGACCTACAAGAGTTGCTCTGCAAAAAAACAACATCAATCCAATCCGCTATCATTGGTGAAAGCATGTGAAAGCTGCGTGGAGAGGGTTTTTCGTCTTTACAAGCTGCCTTGGCCTGACGTGCCTCGTCGCCGTTCCGGGGCACACCACTTTACAGTGTGGGATTGCAAGGGTTTCGACTGTACAACAATAAATTACATTGAATTACAGCTGAAACACATTCAATGCACTCTGTGGATATCTGTGGAGGGTGCTAGAACATGGAGAGGAAACAATGGAAGCAAGCAATCAAAAGATTCAAGAGCACTAGAAGTGCGCACACGTTGCAACACGTCCAGGATTCCATAGAGTTCCTGATAAAGAAAATGCCGCTAGCTACAAAGGATCCTGCTGGCAGTTATGCCAAACTGCGGCCACATCTGAGTCACCCTGGCCTGCGGTGCAACGATACCCAGTCCAATGACATATATGGACACACTGACCATCAGGTGCACCAAGCCAAAGGTGCACACAGCGCGGAGACGAGGAGCAAGGTTCATGCTGCTCAGCTCCCGTGACTTCTCAACTAGACGACGAGTGGCCCGATAGCATTTTTCATCACGTAGGAAGTCAGAGTGTGAGTTATCTGTTAAGTGTTCAGTGTGAAGTGTTTAAGTCGAGTGAGTTGAGGTAGTGTGAGGGCCTCTGTGTGTGTATCTATGTCCGTGTGTATATGAGTCTGTGTATGTGTGTGTGTTCGTGTAAGTTGAGGCAGTGCGTGGGTGTCTGTGTGTGATGCGGCCTCCCAAGCCCCCCACCGGCGGCCAAGCGGTGACAGCCCAGCTCATCGTCATGAGCATTTGAGCTGCTGGTAAGGGGAGAAGCAGCGTGCACGCCTCCAGGAAATCTCACTAAAAAAAAGGAGCCGGAATGAAGACAGAAAAGTGCCGAGGCAGGTACGCAACAAGTGTGTCAAAGCAGTGACCTGTCAGAGGAGAAGCGTCCAGCGATATACGATCAGAGGTAACGTTTCCTTCACTCCAGGACACTAGCTTTTCTAGGATGTCGTTAACCAACCACTATGCTTGTCATTGACTAAATGACTGTCTCAAAGAAAAACGTGACAAAGTAGCATGAGGGTTGCACGGGCAGCCGGCAAATCGCACTCTCGCCTGCGTTTCGCGCACTCGACACGCACGATCTCCGCAGAGGGTTGCGCGCGCACCGGACAA